GAGCCCGGAACTAAGGAGCCAGCATCTCCAGCCATGGGGACCAGGCAGAAACCGGGGTCCTCCGTATGACTCAAATCCCAGACTGGGCAACCCACTGCTGAGCTCCTCAACACACCCAATGCCTCCTGCTTCACCAATTGCACCCCAGGACCCACTGCCTGGAATTTATTTCAATGATCTACAAACTGGAATCTTATGTGATCAGGAACGAGACAAGATGTCCACTCTTGCCACTTTTATTCAACACGGTACTGAAAGTCCTAGCCACAGCCATCGGATAAGAAATACAAGGCATCCAAATTGGAAGGAAAACCAAACTGTCACCATCTGCAGATGACATGATTCTAAACAAAAAATCCTAAAGACTCCACCAAAAAACTATTAGAATACATTGATTCAGGGAAGTCGTGGGTAGAAAATTCATTCCCAGAAATGGGCTGCATTTCTACACAATAATAACAAAGTAGCAGAAAGAGAAATTAAGAAATCAATTTCATTTACAATTGCACCAAACAACACCTAGAAATAAATTTAACTAAGGAGCTGAAAGACCTGTACTCTGAAAGCTGTAAAACACTGATGGAAAAAATTGAAGATGACACAAATGGCAAGATATTCCATGTTCATGGATTGGAAGAAATAATAATGTTAAAATGTCCCTGCTACCCAAAGTAATTGATAAATTCAGTGCAATCCCTATCAAAATACCAAAGGCATTTTTCACAGCGCTAGAACAAATAATAATACTAAAATGTGTATGAGATCGAACAGCCAAAGCAATCTTGAGGAAAAACAAAGTGGGAGGTAGCACAAGCCCAGATTTCAAGATATACTACAAAGCTGTAATAATCACAACAGTATGGTACTGGCACAAAACCAGACACATAGATCAATGGGAACAGAACAGAAAGCCCAGAAAGAAACCCACACTAATATGGTCAATTAACAACAAAGGAGGTAAGAATACACAATGGGGAAGGACAGTCTCTCCAACAAATGGTCTTGGGACAACTGGACAGCTACATGCAAAACAATGGAACTAGACCACTTCCTTACACCACACACACAAATCATCTCAAAGGGGTTAAAGACCTAAATGGGAGACCTGAACCCACTGAAATCCTAGAAGAGAGCACAGGCAGTAATGTCTCTGACATCAGCCTTAGCAATATTTTCCTAGACAGCTCTCCAGACACAAGAGAAACAAAACAAAATTAAACTATTGGGACTATGTCAAAATAAACACCTTTTGGACAGCAAACAGAAAGCATCACAAAATGAAAAGGCAAGCTGAATGCGAGATTTTTGTAGATAATATATCCCATGAGACGCTAATATCTAAAACATGTAAAGAACTTCTACAACTCAACACCAGTAACACAAATAAACTGACGAAAATGGCCAGAGAACCTGAACAGATATTTTCCCAGAGAAGACCTACAGAAAGCCAACAGACATGTGGAAAGAGGCTCAACATCACTCATCAGGGAAATGGAATTAAAGCCACAATAAGGTATCACATGACACCCAGGTCAGAATGGCTATAACCAGAAAGACAAGCAGCAGACGGTGTTGGTGATAATGTGAAGAAGGAACCTTCGTGCACTGCTGGTGGGAATGCAAACTGGTGCAGCCACTGTGGACAATATGAAGGTTCCTCAAAAAATTAAAAACAGGGCGCCTGAGTGGCTCAGTGGGTTAAGCCTCTGCCTTGGGCTCAGGTCATGGTCTCAGGGTCCTGGGATCAAGGCCTGTATCAAGCTGTCTGGTCAGCAAGGAGCCTGTTTCTCCCTCTCTCTCTGCCTGCCTCTCTGTCTGCTTGTGATCTCTGTCAAATAAATAAATAAAATCTTTTTTAAAAAATTAAAAACAGAAACACAATATGATCCAGTAATTTCACTACTGGGCATTTATGCAAAGAAAAGGAACACACTAATCTCAAAAGATACATGTACCCTTATGCTTACAGCAGCATTATTTAAAACAGCCAAGATATGGAAGCAACCCCAGTGTCCACAACTGATGAATGGTAAAGAAAATGTGGTGCATACATAGCTATACATAATGGGGTATTACTCAGCCATAAAAAAGGATGAGATTTTTGCCACTTGCAACAACACAAAGATAGACCTGAGAGTATTATGCTAAGCGACATAAATCAGACTGAGACAGACAAATACCATGTATTTGTCCACTTACATGTAGAGTCTGAAAAACAAATGAACAAACAGAGGCCGCTGGCTGGCTCAGTCGGTTAAGCACCCAACTCTTGATTTTGGTGCAGGCCACAATCTCACAGTTGTGAGACAGAGCCCTACAATGGGCTCTACACTCAGGGCAGAATCTGCCTGAGAGTGTCTCTCCCTCTGCTCCCACCCACTCATGTGCACTCTCCCTACAATGAATAAATAAAATCTTTTAAGAAATGAATAAACAAAGAAAAAGCAAAATCAGACCTATAAATACAAAATAAAGTGATGATTGCCAGAGGGAAGGGGGCAGAGGGATGAGCAAGATGGGTGAAGGGAGGGGGAGGTACAGGTTTCCACGTATGAAACAAACAAGCCATGGGAATAGAAGGCATAGCACAGGGAATACAGTCAAGGGCCGTGCAACAACGACGTATGATGATAGGCTGAGCTCCAACTGTGGGGAACAGAGCGTAACATGAGAAGTCCCCTGACTATGCTCTATACTTGAAATGAATGTAACATTGTCTGTCAACTATGCTCAAGTATAAAAAGAGACTGGAACCTTGTTATATTTAAACGCCAAAAAAAATTTTTTTTTAGAACATTTTATTTATTTGACGGACAGAGATCACAAGTAGGCAGAGAGGCAGGCAGATAGAGAGAGGAGGAAGTAGGCTCCCTGCTGAGCAGAGAGACCAATGCGGGGCTCAATCCCAGTATCCCGGGATCATGACCTGAGCCGAAGGCAGAGGCTTTAACCCACTGAGCCACCCAGGAGCCCCCCAAAATATTTTTATATGACTTTTTAGAGATAGTGAAATTGTTTTAAGTTAAAACTGAATTTGTTTTTGCAGATTTGGTCCATTTGTTTTATCTCCGTTAACCGGGTCTATTCTGAAGTATGAAGCTGTTTACTGATAGTAGAGTGTAGGTCCTACATGCCAAGTTTAGCAAACAAATAGAAATTACTTTTTTACTAAAAAGAATGTTCCTCCCCACCCCCGACCCAGGTAATTTAGATCATTCTCAAAAATCACACATCATCTTACAACCTAACTACTGATTCTATACTACCAAAGAAAAGCCCAGCGAGCCCAGGGTAAGACCCCAAGCAGCTCACTAGACTCAGCTGAGGCCCAGCGGAAGGTGGTATTACCTGGCCTGCTCTGGAGGGCTGGACAGTGGACGGAGGGCAGTGCTGTGCCTGGACTCAGCAGATGAAGGCTGTCTGGGACAAGGACTGGGGTCAGCCGCGTGGGATCGGCCCAGACCTAAGGGGCAGAAGGCTTCACTTTAAGAATTGCAAGGAGAAGACAGCAACATGGTCTCCAAACAGTTCTATTACTCTGACAATGAGTTCTACTATCCTTGTAAATAGCTGTGTATGACATAAGTGATCTCACCAAACTAACGATTCAAGCCCCTAAATGAAACTACAGTAGGAACAATAAAATGTACCCAAGTAACCAGCGGTAAAGGGAAAGCCACTGTCACTCTGCACATGTCTGCGTGCCCAGGAAATTGCTAGGAAAGGACACTACCACTGCCCACAGCAACCCCACACATTAAAGGAGATGCCCCTGTTAACCAGGAAAGGCAGGTCAAGAGAGAGGACAGCAATGCTGGGGCTTAGGCGACCCCAGGCTTGGCTCCTGCTCCTTCCTGCCATCTCAGGCAGGCTGCACTCAGACTCAGGTAAGAGGCCTTCCCAGGACCAGAGCAAATCCAGAGCTTCCTGCAACCCTCCCGGCAGCCACTCACCTTCCAGATACATTTCACCATCGAGGCTCCTTTTTGCTTTGGGAATGGGAGTGGAGGAGAGGCGTCTGGAGGCAGTGTCCCTGTGTGGCCTCGAGGCCATGCTGCCCGCCCATGCCTCCGAGGTGCTGCTCTTGTCCTCTTTAGGGGTGCCCACCAGAGGCTGCTTGGAGATAACTCTGTCCTCGGCACAAGTGCGTCTTTGGGATGAATTCGAATCGATGCTCTGGAGTGTTCCTAGCAAGTGGAGGGGTGGTGGGCTCTTGGCTGCTAAAGGGCTCTTAGCAGGGAGTTGACTAACTCTTCGATGGTAATTTCGGAAAGCTTTCTCCAAACGTTCAGTCTCTTGCTCTAGCTCTTTCATCCTGGCCTTGGTATTGGCTACAAACTCAAGGTCAGAATCGCGGGAACTGCTCTCTGTGCTTGCATTTGGGTAACCTATGATCCTTGGTATACCCACCATCGGCCTTTCCTGGTCGAGAGTATTTTTTAAGAAATCCCCGCCTACATCTGCATCACAAGGCACCGCCGTCTTGCCACTCAGTAGTCTGCTGACGGACTGCTCGATCAAAGACTGCTTGGGCCTGCCGTACACTTCGTTCTCGAGCACTGCGGGTTCCAAGAAGACCACGTGAGAATTGACGGGAAAAGGCAGAGAAGAGAGTTAAAATAGATTGAGATCATGATTTTTCAAAAACAAAAGGCAGTATTAAGGACAAGCTTCCACCTTAGTTTCTGAAGCTGCAGTCATGACAGTATTAGTATTTATGAAAAGGTTATATATGTACGTTTCATTACGGATGATATTACTTCACAATCCATTACCACTATCGTGAAATCTAAAAAAGCCCTGAAAACTGAAAATATATTCCTAACTTATTTGGTGGCAAAGCCCAACTGATCTGGTTGAAAAGCTTGACCTGAACCAACATAAACACATTTACAATCTTCAGTTATTCCACTTAGCATGAATATTCATCCATTCGATTGCGAAGTAATTACTGTGTTTCACTGCAGGCTGCTGCGCAGAACCCCCAGGGCTGTGGCAAAATCCACAGGCCACAGCCCCGGCCTGAGTTTCCGATAAGGGAAGGAGGACATGCAGTCACGACAATGCTGTGGGCCAAGAACATTCACTGCTCCCATTTTACGGACGGAGGGCAGAGACTGAGGCTGGCTCACCCAGTGAGCAAGGTGGAGAGCCGCTGGCACTGCCCAGGGCAAAGCCGGCACTCCGGACCACTACCTCTCACACAACGCCTCCTTGAGGACGCCGCCGGGACAGAGGCTCACAATGTGCCACGGGGGGGTTCAAAAGGTTCTACCTTCTTGAAGTATTTTTCATGATATGAGGTCACCAGAATTACAGCTGTGGACAGTGCAGCAAACAGAATTATGGAGAGACAGTGAAGAGCAGGCAAGAGTAGAAATGAGTAAAGGGAAAACCTGTGTGGGGGTGGGGGGGAACAAGGGCCTAACCAGGACAGAGCGCGAATGGGACGGAGGGGGTTTTGGAACAAAGAAACAAGAAAGCACGCCCACTGGTAACAAGGAGGAACCTGCTTTGTGCCTGCAAGCAGTGAAACAAGGTGCAGAAGCTTCGGCATCCCTGTTACGAATTAGGAAGGGGTGGACGTCATGCACAGCGGTGAAATTGGGAGTAAGAAAATGACAGCAGCAACCACCCACTCAGTGTCATGTGTGTCCCAGGCCCCGTACTGCCACCCATCTCGCTTCATCTTCATCCACGCGGCCCAGCGCCACTCCTGGCCCCATTACACAGTGAGGACACGGAGGCCCAAGGAAGTTCAAGGGAGTGTGCTCAGGGTTAGAGAATGGACTTCACCATGGAGACCCAAAACAAGGAGCGCTTCTGGATCCACTTGCAGTGATGCTCGTTTTACTGACCACCCTGCTTCTCGCACGCGAGTGCATGTCTGCCCGGGGACACATCACACCATGGATAAGTCAACTGGTCTTTGCGGCAGGGTCACATGCAAAAAAGGAAAGCCTAGGTTCAGGATGAATCTGGGGACCTCTGTGTCACTACCACACCTCTCCTGAGTCACGGGGCACCTGTGAAAGCAGGTCACTGGAGCGGAGGACCTGGTTGCTAGTCCTGAAATAGAAGTTTTACTTCTCAGCTGAGACATATTTCTATAACTCTTCCCCTGCTAAGAGAACTACTAAAAGTTCACTGAATAATCATCATTACGTTTTCACAAACATCAGAAGCTTTACACACACACACAAACACACACACACACACGTGTTAAAAATGTCTTTGACCTGTCTGGGTTTGCTTCAGTTGCAATTTCAAATCGGCAACCTGTATAGTTAACCTCTTTACGGAGTCGTCATAATCAAGTATCTGGGCCTTCAGTTGTGCAGAATGTTCGATCTGAATAGATTTTGGGAAGGAAAAGAAATGAACATAAGACAAATCACAGCTTATTTCAAAAGGACCAATTCTCTTCTCTGAATTATTCTCTTTATCTTTTTTGCCAATTCTGAGCAGGTTTGTACCCATGAAACCACAGAACACACTAACAAGGAGACAAGATGGCAGGGAAGTAGGAGGAGGCGCCGTTTCAACCTGTACCCTAAAGTGAGCTGATTACCCCCAAAGAACTACGATCACCCATGAAATCAGCCTGAGATCAGAATTATACAAGTCTAGATCTCTATGGCGGCAAAAGACACCACTGGGCAGGTAAAGGGGAGTGGGAACGTCAGACTGATATCGGAAGATAAACAAAAGGGGGAGGGAGCCACCAGAGGCAACCGATTGGAAAGTAATACCCCAATCTGAGAGTGCCCTGCGTCTGGGGACCAGCATTAACTTGGAGTCTGGTTGAAAGCACTCAAAAAGAGCAAAGGATCAAGGGGGAAATTGTGGGAATCGGGACAATTAGGGACAGGGGCTTAAGTCCCCAGACCCAAGACAGCCGCCCCTGGTGCTGAGCCAGAGAGAGTGCGCGGAGAAACCAGGTCTTGGTCCCTGAGCCGCCAGCACGCCTGAGAGCGCGTGGGGTCCCATGAGGGGCTGGGAGCCTCACCAGACAGCAGAAGCATAGCCTTTTTGCAGTCTCCAAGCACAGGCCGTGCTGTGCTATCAGAGGCTGAGATATGCGCGCCCCACACCCTCCCGAGAGAGGTGTGCGCAGGCGCCAGGCCGGTGCTTTCCAACCTAGAAAGACCAGGCACTCCCAGCCTCAGCCAGCAGGAAAATCTCAGGTGTGTTAGCTGCTTGGAACCTCTCTGGTGGTCTGGACCTGCCCAGACAGCCGTCGCTGTCATGGTTTTGGGTACAAGCAGGAGTTCCTGTGTCACCAGGGACCACGACTCGGAACCTGCTCTGCCAATGGCCGAGGGGAAACTTAAGTGCTCCGCAGCACCTAGAGGGGACAGACTGAGGCTTCTCTGAGAGGGAGGTCAGGGTGCAGTTTGCTTTCCTCTAAACCTCCAAAAACCATCAAAAGCTGTCAAGGTGAGAGAGAAAAAAAAAAAAGAATAAACAAACATAAAAACCTCCAGAGAACAAAATCCTGAAAAACCGGTTTCCTGAGAGCCCACCCACTTGAGGGGGGCAGGAGGACTTAACTCAGGGAACATCACTGACTGAAAACCCACATGGCAGGACCCTCCCCCACAAAACCAACCAGGAAGAAAAAGAAAAAAAAAAAAAGGAAAACAAAAAGACGACAAGAGAAACCACCACTACTTCACAGATACAACTTTTATTTTTAATTCGTTCTCAATATTCTGGTTCATTTTTTTTATATAAATAATTTTTTAATCTATTTACCATCACAGTGAAATGTCAAGTACATCAAATTCCATAATAACCTTTTAACCTGAACTTTTTGATACATATACCCGTGTTTTTCTTTCGCTTTTCTATTTTTTAAGATTTTTTTAAATTTTAGTTTAGTTTATTTTTTTATTTTTATTTTTTCATATTCATATAGAGTTAAACTGAAAAGTAACCCCCTTTCCCCAATCAATGCTACCCCTATAGGTAAACCAATTTTTAGTCCCCCTTTATCTTAGGAAAGTTGAGTCCTTTAACAAAGATATCACAATACATCCAGGAAGAATCAAAATAACCTTCCTCGCCCACACTGAGAATATATAACCACTCTCCCATCTTTTTCTTCCACCAGTGTTTCTGTGTATTTGGGTTTGTCCTGATTGTATATAAATCTTATACTTGGGGTTCTTTTTTCTTTTTCTTTTCTTTTTTCTTTCTTTCTTTTTTCTTTCATTTGGGTGGGGACTCCTGATTTCTCAGAAGCGTTCCAGGGTGCACCTTGACTGCACCACAGTCGATACATCCAGCTACATCCATTCAGTCATCTCTCACCAAAATGACAAGGAGGAGGAATGCCCAACAGAAGAAAAATTCAGAGGATGGGCCTTGTGCAACAGAGCTAATGGCTATCGACATAGACAATATGTCAGAAAGGGAAATCAGGCTAACAATTAACCAGGCTATAGCTAGGTTGGAGAAAGCCATGGATTACCAAACAGAATTGATTAGGGTAGAACTGAAAGCCACCAGGGATGATGTTCACTATGTCACGGCAGAACTGAAAGTCACCAGGGATGATGTTCACAGTGCTCTCAATGAGTTCCAATCTAATCTACATTCTCTCAAAGCTAGGGTAACTGAGACAGAAGATAGAATTAGTGATCTGGAGGACAAACAGATAGAAAGGATCAGGAGGAAGCCTGGAACAAACAGCTTAGAAGTCAGGAAAACAGAATCAGGGAAATAAATGATGCCATGAAACATTCCCAAATCAGAATTATTGGAATCCCTGAAGGGGAGGAGAAAGAAAGAAGGCTAGAAGATATAGTGGAACAAGTTCTCCATGATAATTTTCCTAATATCTCAAATGGAACCAGCATTCATATACTAGAGGCAGAACAATTTCCCCCAAAGATTATAGATTCTCAAAAGTCCTCAAGACACCTAAGAGCAATAATGAAGAATTATAATCGTAGGCAGACCCTCTTGAAAGCAGCTAGGACAAAGAAGCTCCTTACATACAGAGGAAAGCCCATCAAAATAATGTCAGACCTGTCCACAGAGACCTGGCAAGCCAGAAAGGGCTGGCAAGATATATTCAGGGCACTAAACGAGAAGAACATGCAGCCAAGAATACTTTATCCAGCAACACTGACATTCAAAATGGATGGAGAGATAAAGAGTTTCCAAGACCTGCAAGGCTTAAAAGACTATGCGACCACCAAGCCAACACTGCAGGAAATATTAAGGGGGGGTTCTACAAAAGAGGAAAAGTCCTAAGAACAGCATTGAACAGAAATATAGAGACAATCTACAGAAAGAAAGACTTCAAAGGTAACAAAATGTCAATAAAAACGTATCTATCAATAATCACTCTCAATGTGAATGGCCTAAATGCCCTGTCAAACGACACAGGGTTGCAGACTGGATAAACTGACAGGACCCATCCATATGTTGTCTACAAGAGACCCATTTTGAACCTAAGGATACACCCAGACTGAAAGTGAAGGGATAGAGAAGCATCTTTCATGCCAATGGGCCTCAAAAGAAGGCCGGGATAGCGATTCTATCAGATAAATTAGATTTTAAACTAAAGACTTTAGTCAGAGATACAAAAGGACGCTACATAATTCTTAAAGGGACTATCCACCAAGATGATCTAACAATTGTAAATATCTATGCCCCCAATATGGGAGCAGCCAATTACATAAGAAAACTGTTAATCAAGATAAAGAGTCATATTGATATGAATACATTCCTCTCTCAGTAATAGACAGATCAAGCAGAAAATCAATAAAGAAACAAGAGCATTGAATGACACATTGGACCAGATGGACCTCATAGATATATACAGAACACTCCACCCTAAAACAGAATACTCATTCTTCTCAAGTGCACATGGAACCTTCTCCAGAATAGGCCACATACTGGAGAAGAAGAACCTTCTCCAGAATAGTCACAAATCAGGACTCAACTGGTACTAAAAGACTGAGATGATTCCCTGCATATTCTCAGATCCCAATGCTTTGAAACTGGAGCTCAATCACAAGGAAGAGTTCAGAAGGAACTCAAACACCTGGAAGCTAAAGACCACCTTGCTAAAGAATGCTTGGATCAACCAGGATATCAAACAAGAACTGGAACAATTCATGGAAACTAATGAGAATGAAGACACTTCGGTCCAAAACCTATGGTTTACAGCAAAGGCGGTCCTAAGGGGGAAATACTTAGCCATCCAAGCCTCCCTCAAAAAAACTAAAAAATCCAGAATACACCAGCTGTCTCTACACCTTAAAGAACCAGAGAATCAACAACAAATCAAACCAACTCCACACATAAGAAGGGAAATAATCAAGATTAGAGCAGAGATCAATGAGGTAGAAACCAGAGATACAATAGAATGTATCAATGAAACTAGAAGCTGGTTTTTTGAAAGAATCAATAAGATCGATAGACCATTGGCCACACTAATCCAAAAGAAAAGAGAGAAAGCCCAAATTATTAAAATTATGAATGAAAAGGGAGAGATCACAACTAACACCAAGGAAGTAGAAACAGTCATCAGAAGTTATTATCAACAATTATATGCGAATAACTTAAGCAACATAGATGAAATGGATGCATTCCTGGAAAATGATAAACTCCCAAAATTGAACCAGGAAGAAACTGACAACCTGAATAGACCAATATCTAGTAACGAGATTGAAGCAGTGATCAAAAACCTCCCAAAAAACAAGAGCCCAGGACCTGACGGATTCCCTGGGGAATTCTACCAAGCTTTCAAAGAAGAAATAACACCTATTCTCCTGAAGCTGTTTCAAAAAAGTGAAGCAGAAGGAAAACTTCCAAACTCTTTTTATGAAGCCAGCATTACCCTGATCCCCAAACCAGGCAAAGACCCTACCAAAAAGGAGAATTGAAAAATCCACTGATGAATATCACTGAATATCACTGATGAATACGGATGCTAAGATTCTCAACAAGATCCTAGCAAAGAGGATCCAACAGCACATTAAAAAGATTATCTACCATGACCAGGTGGGATTCATCCCTGGGTTACAAGAATGGTTCAACATTCACGAATCAATCAATGTGATAGAACAAACCAAAAAGAGAAGAGAGAAGAACCACATGGTCCTTTCAATTGATGCAGAAAAAGCATTGGACAAAATCCAGTATCTGTTCCTGATTAAAACGCTTCAAAGTATAGGGACAGAGGGAACATTCCTCAACTTCATAAAATCTATCTATGAAAGACCCACAGCAAATAACATCCTCAATGGGAAAAAGCTTGCAGACTTCCCGTTGAGATCAGGAATACGACAAGGATGCCCACTCTTGTTCAACAGAGTATTAGAAGTCCTAGCAACAGCAATCAGACAACAAAGAGAAATAAAAGGTATCCAAATTGGCAAGGAAGAAGTCAAACTCTATCTCTTTGCAGATGATATGATTCTTTATATGGAAAACCCAAAAGACTCTACCGCCAAACTACTAGAACTCATACAGCAATTCAGTAACGTGGCAGGATACAAAGTCAATGTGCAGAAATCAGTGGCTTTCTTATACACTAACAATGAAAATACAGAAAGGGAAATTAGAGAATTGATTTCACTTACTATAGCACCAAGAACAGTAAGATAGCTGGGAATAAACCTAACGAAAGAGGTAAAGGATCTGTACTCGAGGAACTACAGAACACTCATGAAAGATATTGAAGAAGACACAAAAAGATGGAAGACCATTCCATGTTCTTGAAAGGGAAGAATAAACATTGTTAAAATGTCTATACTGCCTAGAGCAATCTATACTTCTAATGCCATTCAGATCAAAATTCCACCATTATTTTTCAAAGAGCTGGAGCAAATAATCCTAAAATTTTTTTGTATGGAATCAGAAGATACCCCGAATTGCTAAGGAAATCTTGAAAAACAAAAATAAGACTGGCAGCACCACGTTACCGGATTTCAAGCTTTACTACAAAGCTGTGATTACCAAGACAACATGGTACTGGTATAAAAACAGACACATAGATGAGTGGAACAGAGTTAGAGAGCCCAGATATGGACCCTCAACTCTATGGTCAAATAATCAACAAAGCAGGAAAAAATATGCAGTGGAAAAAAAGACAGTCTCTTCTATAAATGGTGCTGGGAAAATTGGACAGCTATATGTAGAGGAATGAAACTCGACCATTCTCTTACACCGTACACAAAGATAAACTCAAAATGGATAAAAGACCTCCACGTGAGACAGGAATCCATCAGAATCCTAGAGGAGAACATAGGCAGTAACCTCTTCGATATCAGCCACAGCAACTTCTTTCAAGATATGTCTCCAAAGGCAAAGGAAACAAAAGCGAAAATGAACTTTTGGGACTTCATCAAGATCAAAAGCTTCTGCACAGCAAAGGAAACAGTCAACAAAACAAAGAGGCAACCCACGGAATGGGAGAAGATATTTGCAAATGACAGTACAGACAAAAGGTTGATATCCAGGATCTATAAAGAACTTCTCAAACTCAACACGCACAAAACAGATAATCATATCAAAAAATGGGCAGAAGATATGAACAGACACTTCTCCAATGAAGACATACAAATGGCTATCAGACACATGAAGAAATGTTCATCATCACTAGCCATCAGGGAGATTCAAATGAAAACCACATTTAGTTACCACCTTACCCCAGTTAGAATGGCCAAAATTAGCAAGACAGGAAACAATGTGTGTTGGAGTGGATGTGGAGAAAGGGGAACCCTCTTACAGGGTTGGTGGGAATGCAAGTTAGTGCAGCCACTTTGGAGAACAGTGTGGAGATTCCTCAAGAAATTAAAAATAGAGCTTCCCTATGACTCTGCCATTGCACTACTGGGGATTTACCCCCAAGATACAGATGTAGTGAAAAGAAGGGCCATCTGTACCCCAATGTTATAGCAGCAATGGCCACGGTCGCCAAATTGTGGAAAGAACCAAGATGCCCTTCAATGGACAAATGGATAAGGAAGATGTGGTCCATATACACGATGGAGCATATGCCTCCATCAGAAAGGATGAATACCTAACTTTTGTAGCAACTTGGACGGGACTGGAGGAGATTATGCTGAGTGCAATAAGTCAACCAGAGAGAGTCAATTATCATATGGCTTCACTGATTTGTGGAGCATAACAAATAGCATGGAGGACATGGGGAGATGGAGAGGAGAAGGGAGTTGAGGGAAACTGGAAGGGGAGGTGAACCGTGAGAGACTATGGACTCTGAAAAACAACCTGAAGTTTTTGAAGGGGTGGGTGGTGAGACGTTGCGGGAGTCAGGTGGTGGGTATTAAGGAGGGCATGGATTGCATGCACCGGGTGTGGTGCAAAAACAGTGAAGACTGTTACACTGAAAAGAAATGAAAAAAAAAAAAAAAAAAAAAAAAAATAAGAACTTGCTAACAAGTTTTCTAGCTCCTTCTTTACTTGTCTCACACAGCAGCTACTCCCAGACAGGAGACAGGCAATATTAAGTCGCAGGGTGAGGATCAAAGGATACTTTGAACAATGGGCACCATCACGACTTGGAAAACCATGTGTGTAGGGGAGTTTACTTTCTTCTTGATTGTATCACTATTATGAATATAATGTCACAATCACTCAAGAATTTTCTCAGATGAGAAAGAACACTGGTGGAATGATTCGCATATGGGGGGAATTTCTCATGTTAAAGTAGATCTGATTTATGCTGGTGTGACGCACACCGAGTTTACACACCCACAAAGTGCACCACCCTGACACCGGGTGAGCGCAGAGCAATACTCACTTCACTCTGCAGCTGTTTCTGCAAAGCCTGCTTGTGGCTTTCGAACTCCTTATGCTCAAATGCAATAGCGTCTTCTGCTTTCTTCAGTTCTTTCTGAAAAACCGCCAGCTCAGGAGATGGCTGACCTATACCTATGGAGGTAAAAAAGCTTGGTCATCACCAACCTGAAGTTTTCTCATTTCCCTTCACAAAAGCAGCTAAAGAGGCTTTAAGATGGTTTTGCCCCTTCTTTGTATGCACACAATTAACATTAGTTTTACTAAATGGTCTAAGAGCAATCCTGAATCACCAATTTCAGAACAAAAGAATTTAGTGCACATAACTGCAAACTCTACCACTCTTCAGAGTTCTACTCCCAGTACAAGGACTCCTTCAAATCCTCAAATGAACATGAATGATCACCTCCCTCTTCTACTCTGCATAGAGGCACAGAAAGAACGCTCTGTCAAAGCATGCCTGTGATGGCCCCTAGGTCCAATTCGACCTGTGCCTCTTTTAGCGGCACTCAGGGTCCAGAAAGCAAGCAGATGGTGTTCCCAGTACGGGCCATCAGAAGACCCTTTAATAAAGAGACAATTACATAGGGGGGCCACAAAGGGTGGCGCAGTTCCCTGGGCTGGTACTGCAGCCATGCGGTTATCAGTCCTCAGACCTGGAGGGTCGGGAAGGGAGGCACTCCCAGAGCTGGACAGAGCGAGCAGGCACAGGGTGCTGGTGAAGCGTCAGGAATCTCACTTTGCTGAGGCCCAGGGCCAGCCCAGGGCTACTCCGCAAGGAGGAGATGGAGAAGGGATCACAATCACCTCAACCTCGCTCTTCCCTCCTTCCAAGCGCTTGATCGTGTCCCCACTGGCCGGGAGGGTTCAGAGGGCAAGGGGAGCTGGGGACCCTCTTGTGTCTTAGTGCCACAACTGTGCAGCAGCAAGCAAAAACTAACTCCGATTCAAGAATCTTAATTTTATAAAATCTTCCCAATTGAAGCTTCCCTGACAGGACAAAGTGCTTTCAGAATACCAAGCTAATAGCAATTACAAAGCCATGCCAATTAGAAAAAAAAGACCTACGGTTTAGGAGACGCACGTTTTCACTTCTAGTCTCTTCCAGTTGTTGTTTGAGTAATTTATTTTGTGCCTGAAGCTCCAGTTTCCCTTCTTTCAGGAGCGCATAGTCACTCATCTCTCTGACCTTTTCATTCAGCAGATGGTTCTGCTTGGTTACTGCCGAAGACAGGGCTCGGACAGACTCTAACTCAAGCTGCAATTGAAACAGAAAAACCAGTACTTGAACGGTGACTTTACAGGTTTGCCTCCGTGTAAGCTGGCGGGCCGCCCAGAGGTGGGCGTCACCACTGAATTAAGGCCCCTTGACAGAAGTCTGGTTCTCTGCAACAAGACCCCAGCTCCCGCAGTACAAGTCATCTTTTGCCCTAGCGCTGGGCCAGGGGGAAGTTCATCCAGCTGCTACCGTGTACAACCCTGTCCTGCAAAGCTAGTGCTTCTGATCATTACCCCATTTTCCGGATGCAACTAAGGGCTCAACAAAGTCACGGAATAAACAGTCCGAACACATCAAGAGGATAAACGAAGATAAATTACATATGACTAAAATTGAAGTTTCATACATTGTCTTAATGTCTGTTTCAAAACAACAGGCTTAACAATTACCTCAAGCTCTTTGACACGATTCACTGAACGATTAAGTTCTTCCTTTTTTGAATTAATAGCAATGAGCTCCTCTTGCAAGTGTATAGCCTTTTCTGAAAGAAAGAGCCAACCAATTAACATCATCATGTTTTCCTAGTGAATATAAAATCATTTAATAATTTATGGCCCATAAATCTGCTCTAGTGACTACTATTCCATTATCTAAATAAGCAAATGTCAGGGCCAAAAAAAAAAAAGTCAGCAGACAAGCACAAAATAAGCCCTGTTATGCAATAGGTGATGGGATGTTAGCCGCAGTTGTCAAATATGCGGCAAATGCCCTCCCACTACACATACCCCACCACCTACACCATCTGCTCAGGGCAAAGGGCCCTCAAGCCAACCGGTCTGAATTTCCTTGAGATAGAGATTTAGTTGTCCATTGTGATTCTGTAGTTACTATTCTATTATTTTTACTTCATCTAACACAAGTCTATGTAGACATCTCATCAAAAAACACTTTGCTGAATACACAATGGTCCAGATACCTAAACAAGCATTTGCCTTCACAAGGCAGCTGAGGAGGACCAGGCCCACACTGGGCGACCTGGCTGGGCAGTATCAAGCCTAGCCCTGGTGTCCTCCCAAGAGTCCATTTGAAATTACCACTAGAAGTTTAACTTCTTGTCATCGACAAGTTCCTAGATATATATTAAAATGCAAAATATCTCAAAGACTGAAAAATTATCCAACTTTCCTAGTTTCGGGCTAATGTCTCCAAGAGTTTAAGAGGTTATCGATCATGTGAAAATACCACAAAACATAAAAATACACTGTAAGTAAAAGAAATAAAAAACTAGGTCACAGGGACAGGGTAGTCAAAATTTTCCGTAGGAAGAAATGAAGTCTCTTTCATGGTTAAGAGTGGTATTTAAGGGATGTCAATAAGTTGCTGCCACCTTCTTGACAATCACATTTATCAAAATACGCTGAAATCAAGTTGGATAAAATCCTGCTGATAAATCACTGACCTCTGTGAATATACGAAAGTTAAACACTAAGGTTCACAAAAATGTAGTAAGACAGTATTTTTTTTATTTTGTAAAATTAAGATAACAAAAAACATTTAAATTCTGTAGTAACAACGATGTGATAGCTCTGTCTTTTTTAGGATACAGAAAAGGCCCAACTAGGAAAGCTAACAGCCTATATAAGTGCTGAAAAATACAGCTTGCCCCCAGAGTCACCTTTATTCTTCCCTTCCTCTTTAGTCAGCCTGTTAGTTCTGGTGATATAGTCATCCTTTAGTTCAAGTTGATATCTGCCAATCAGAAGAACCAAAAATGAGCTCCTGGCCGCTTTCCTGGACAGACTGCCATCAATATGTGAGCTTATCTATGGCATCAGGGACCCCAAGGTGACAACAGGTAAACCTCAGGCTCTTTCAAGACCAAAGCCAGGGACATGAACATAGAAGGTCCATAAAACCCGGCTGTGATTCTGTTAATCAGGTCCCAAAACTCAATCACACAAAAATCAAGGGTCCCGATGTTGTTGTGAGGTTATTTAGAGCAATTATTTCTCAGTTGGTCTCGACTGACACGAGGTAGTAAATTAAGGTCAACTTACAGTGTGCGTGACACTCTAGATCCCAAATGATAACCATGTCAGTCACTTGCAATCCAATTCACCTATCCTTTCTCCCCCCTCTAAGATACGCACTTTTGCCCTTCAAGGTGGAGCACAGTATTGAGAGCCAACTGCCAACAGCATTAGACCCGAATTAGTGATACCCAAGGCACAGCTCATGCGGCTTCAGCCACCTCCACCAGCCGTTACCAGCTGACTTTCTGGTTCAGAGGCCAGAGAAAGGAAGGAGAAGCAATCCTGTGATATTCTCCCAACTTCAACACCTGCGAAAGTCATCTGAGGACACCTAAACCCTGAAAACTGATACCAAACAGCTCATTCTATCCATGGCTGGGCAAAGCTAGCAAATTGTGAGGAATAAGGGAAGAAAAATGTGTGTAACAACTAGATTTACTTCAGTGTTCGCTGGTATGTTAGAGGAGCAGACATAATACATAGATGAGACTCATCATTTCAAAACTGATACATGAAAAGGTGCTACTTTTCTTTTTTAACAGAATTCTTTTAAAGAATAACCTCCAGAGACCTTTGTGGGTACTATGGAGTGGAATACCCATGACAAATTATGGGCAAGGCAATAAAGTGAGGCCAGTGGGGGGCGCCTACATGGTTCAGTCAGTTAAGCGTCTGCCTGCAGCTTAGGTCGTGATCTCCGGTCCTGGGATAGAGCCCGACATCGGGCTCCCTGCTCAGCCGTGAGTCTGCTTCTCCCTCTCTAACCCTCCTACCTGCTTGTTCCCTCCCTCTCTCATTCTCTCTCTCTCTCTCAAAAATATTAGAGGCCAATGACTATGACACGGCCAGAGGAGCTGAGCGGAGCCATCGCTTCAGTCCACGCGCACTTAGTCAGTACTAAGAGAGCACTCAGTGTGCGCCAGCTGCCGTGCCACACGGGAGGGAAAGCCACCGTACGGGCTTAACGTCTTTGCACGAAGACACTATTCACCGGAACACACAACGCAGGCTACAGGAAAGCCCCAGGGACTACACTTCTCCATCTTCTCCTCTTCTATGTTGTGTTTTACTTCACAGAGCTAAGCCTTTTTCTGGATTCGGACTTGGCAGAACCTTGAAGGAATACTGGGCACACATTCAGTGACAAACACTGTAACCAGGAAGAAGGCCACAGGAGAAATCGTGGCCTATCCCCATCTTCGTGCCAGCATGAGGCGAGAACAGAAAGTGATCGTACTTCTGACTTTGCAGCTGCTCAGCCGTGAAAACTGAGCAAGTCCTAATGTGTCCTAAAAACTGAAGCAAACCATAAGCCTTCAGTCAGTGTCAGAGAAGCTACGAGTAAGTATGAGCAGAGGATGCCATTCTCTGTACCTTTTTAAACCCATCTTAAACATTCATGGGAAAGGCGTGACTACCAATGAAAATGTATATTTTTTTAAACACCAAGTGTGCCATAAACTGTCCAACTTATCTATTTCATCAGTGTTGCTGTGTTTCTAGCAACTTAATGGAACACAGGATTCCTTTAGCAGCGCCAAGCAATTACTTGAGAAGTTCATTCTTGAGCTTCCGGTCATAGCTCTCTTCAATGCCCTTTATATCCAGCTCCTTCTTCCTAAGTGCATCAGCTATGCCTTTATTTTTTTCCTCTTCCAGCCTCTGAGCCCTGAAATTAGCAAAAATAGAGAAAGCAAATAAGAAAACCACAATATCTGAAGTAAGAAATTTAGGAGAAAAAAATCACCTGTGTTTTAGTTCCTCCATCTACTTAATGAACTTAGTTCATCAACTACCAGACGGAATTATCCAGTGGCTCCTGGCTATGGAGAGTGTGAATGTACTAAAATCAAAGTGGTCTCTTACCACACTCAAAAAGAGGTTCCAGCAAATCGATGGCCATCATTAATTTAGGGATGAAAGAGTGATGTTTTTAGCCACAAAACCCATACTCTAGTGTACTTAAATGCTTATTTCTTCTAGAATATTATTTCTAACTGTGAGACTTAATTGATGAGCCCATAAGAATTATAGATAGAAGATTTATTTTTGGCATTTAATAATCAATCAACTGAATGTCGAAAAGAGTGCCAAAAGAAAGAGGAAACGATAGGTGCTTCAGAACCTCCAAATCCGGAGAACGGAGTGCTTTTCATGGTGAGACACCCCCCCATCACCCACAAAACCAACTCTGGAGCCAGGAATTCACAGGTACTTAGACCAAACCACAGTGAGACCTATGAACATTGCCTGTTCCAAGCAAAGGATAAATCCTTTGTGTTAGAGCACCTTCTGCTGGCTAATCTGGAAGGCAAAGGCACATTAAATCCTAAATCCACTTTAGTTTAACATGCTTAGACGGGAGGAGTCAGGGAGGTGGAGGTAAGGAAATGATAATATAATTGTGATTATGTAACCAATAATCTGCACACATTTTGTCCCTTTACTTTTCTCTCTCATTATCCATGTGCCACTTCTATACTGCGAAAAGGAGAGTAAGAAAGGCAGAGAGAAGAAATCAAATGAACAGAGTCTACGAGAATGAAAAAACATTAAAGAAGATGGAAACAAACTTAAAATCGCACTCATGGAGTATCTATGAATGTCAAGATCCCAAATGGGAAAGAAAGCTCATTCCACCAACTACAGACTGGTGAGCCTGGTATTAATCCCAGGTAAGATCTGAAGGCTGATACATCATGAGCATTTAGAAAAGTAACACAACACCAGGAGAAACAGTTTCACCCAGGACAACTCAAGAGTCAGAGCTACCATATTTCCTTTTTTTTTTTTTTTTTGGCAGCAGAGCAGGTAAAGGTGGAAGGTCTGGGTGTCTAGAGTTCAGGTGCTATGTGCGCGTGCAACTCTGAGAGCTGAATGATGGCCCGTAAGTGAGAAACATGGGATTTGTCAAAGCATCATTAGCTTCTTCAAATTAGTGTCTGATCTTACTGTAGCCCGGTGATGGTGCCTCATTCTGCTTTCACCCTAATGTCTAATATCTCATAAATGAAACCCTAGTCTTTGTTTCTCTTGTGCCTTTTAAAATCAGGTGTTGTCACTTTTAAATCCAAAAACTCCACTTGGCAATTAGCATCGGACTATTAAGACACCTATTTAGTTCTTTAAAATCTCATTCATTCTGAATATGTGAAACAAATCCCCGTTACTCACAATTCAAAAGCTTCCATTCGCTGCTTCAGCTCCGCTTCTCTGCCTCTTAGCAAATCTATATCTTTTAGTAGAAGCTGCCTCTGAGCATAAATTTCTCTGGTTTCCATCTGCGTAAGAAAGCGTTAATTTTCAGTAAGCAAGCTAAAGGAAATAAAACAGATCTGAACTAACATCCTGTTTCCTAAGTCCCGGAGAACAAACTCCAGACATTTAGTGCCACAATTTCCCTTTTAAGAGGCTCCAAATGGAGGTGCGCTTTTCCTAATTCCTCGCCCAAACATGTGTTCCCTCCTTCAAAGACTGTGAAACTCCATTAGCCTGTATTCCTAACATCCCTCGTCTATTTATTCTATGTAGTATCTCTCAGACACTTAAAATTTAGTAAGTGCTTCAGCAAGGAAAGGAATGACAAAATGTGTATTCGGCAATAAAGCTCCCAAAGACTAGAACGCTCCTGGTTCTGTTGCTGTCGGAAAGTTCCCATTCCTAAGTCATTCTGACTCAGCAGTAGCAAGCTGAAGGAATGGGCCTCACTTCCATTTGTGCATTCACTGAGTAAAAGGCTTCACAGAATACCTAGCCTGTGTCAAACAGCACTCTTGGAGCTGGCCAGAGAAAGACGCAGAGACACAGGTCCCACCTTTCCAAAATTCACAGTTTAGTCAGGGAGAGAGAAATAATCAGACGATGCCGTGAGGATGTTATAACTGAACTACAGAAAGACCCCGGCTGGAGCGGCAGCTGAATGGGTCCGTAGACCAGGGAAGGCGTCACAAGCAGGTTAACATTCAAGCCGGATTTTGAAGGCCAAGAACGTTTCATCAGAGACAAAAGGGGAAGGGCATTCCGGGTGGTGGAAGAAAGACACAATGCTGTGTGTGAGGAGGGCCCTCCTGTCCAGAGCCCTCAGAGCATCAGTTAACTAAATGAACGTTCTGGTCTGGTAGCTGACTGGGCTGAACGAGTCAGTCACCTGACTTGAGGATGCCCTTATTTATCTAAACATAATCCAATCATCTCAAAGACAGACGTGCTGCCCACATTTATTTTTGGAGGAGCCCAATCACCAGATAAAGTAAACAAAATCATACTGGGGTGCGGTCAGCATGAGCCAACTGGGTGTGACCGCGAAGCGGTCAAGAGCTCCAGACGGCAGCAGCTGCGGCCGGACGCAGGCAACAGTGGTCCCAAGCCGGGCAGGTCAAAGACAGCCCCTCGCGAAAGGAACTGGATCTTCCTACAAGAATGGACCCATGCCTCCTGCATGCCACAACCTTTCCACCTCCTGTCCCATCACTTTCCGCGAGAGAAGATCCAACAGCCACCTGGCTGACTTCTGCAGGCCTGGACTCCACTGCTCTGGGGACCCACGCTTTGACCCAATGGCAGCACACAGCGTGTTGTTGACAGTCGGCCTGAAACCCTAACCTCTTGACCCACACTTATCCGTCCTCCTGTCGGTAGCCCCAGACCTTGTCCTTCAGGTCTCAGACACTGCCACATGGCGCTCCCTTCTCCCCTGGGTTAGCAGCTTCCCTACTGGCTCCCTTCACCACCCCCACTGAACCCCAAAATCTTTAATTAAACAGGCTGCCTTTGTCAAGCCAAGTCACTTCAGCTCTATAAAGCTCCACTCCACAAGGGCCTCTTTCTACCCTCTCTGACCTTAAAGGCCTCCCAAGAACTGGAACAGGACAATCGCCCACAAGCGCCCGGTTTGGTCGGTATCAGGCGCAGGCTGCCCGTCTCAGCCGGGCCCTCAACACGGCGCCGGCCGTCCTGTCTGCTTTGGGGCATTGCTCTGCCTCTCCCCCCAACACAGCCGTTCCGCAACTGCTGATCCTCTTCTGGAAGCTGCCCCCCAACCCTCAAACCTGCCCGAGAGGATGAAGCTTATTCAGTGCGAGTTTCTCACAATCCCCACATGGATGTTCACACTCACAGTGCTTTCCTGCCAGCAATTTCGGAGGAATGAAGTCTGCATATCGCTTATAGGCCGATCCTTCTACTTGTGCCCTTGAGCCCAATCCCTAGCACTCTCGTAGGGCTCTGTCCTGTCTAACCAACTGCCCATCCCAGTCTCAGATCTTGAGCCCCTCTACTAAGAGCTGCAGGAAACAGACACCCAGTAAATAATTTTAAAATGTTACCTCTTGGTGCTTTTGAATTCTCTCAAGGGCCATCTTTTCCCGAGAAATGAGGACTTCAGATTTTGCTTGACAAGCTCGCTCCAGTTTGTTCCGGAACTCAGCTAATTCCCTCTCAGCCTTTTTTTTCTCTTCCATTTTAACTTTTGCTATTTCCATATCTTTAAAATACTTTAACTGCCAATTGATTACAAATAACTGTAAATACCAATAACTATACTAAAGAAATAACTTCTCTCTTGATGGTTAGAGTTAACATGAATGCTGCACTTAAATACATTTAGTTTAACTCATCTTTAGTTTCGTCTCATTCACTGTACCTGTAGTGTTGATCCAAAAAGCACCCAAAAATGCCATTAATTAGAAAGAATCCTATGTGCAATAGTTTATCACATTCATTAACAAAGATTCCACATTTTCTCCCTTAAGATTCCACATTCTCTCCCTAAGACTAAGACATTAAAAGACAAGCACCAGTATCACCCCTGCTAAGAGCAACAAGATACAACTTACCTTTTGACACATTTCTTCCCGAAGCTGCTGTTCTATTTCTCTCTTATATGCATTTAACTTTAGTTCTAAAGATTCTAACTTGGGACACCGAGGGTAAGCATCAGCAAACTGATCATCAATGAGCTGAAGCTTTTTCACTATTAAAAAACAACAACACAGGAAGTTAGGATAGAGAGATGTAGTCAGGTGAGCAAGAGGTTAGAGCTCTGTTCAAAAGCTAAGAGTATACTTAGGGGGAAGTGTAAGGATCTCTGCCACTGACTCTGAAACATCAAAAAATTAAGACAGATTAACGGATGGGACAGACAAGGGCTTGAGCAAGTATCACACAAATTTACTGGGAGAATCAAGTACACGAGTGTTCAGCATCCAACTGTTTCAACCTTTCTGTGTGTTGGAAATTTTTCACCCTCAAATGTCAGGGGCGAAGGAAGCAAAGCATACAGAATAAGCCAGAAAACACTGGCTTCTATCCAGTCCCTAAGTGCCATGGCAGAGAGCACTTTCAGTGGACTTTTGTTAAAGGTGTGACTCACATGTTCAAAACACTGACCTTAAAATAAACAAAGATCATATACTTCAACTCCTCTGCTTTCTAAGAAAGGAAAGTGCCCCCTACAGTTTGAGTGAGTCCTAGAGGGCTAAGCAACTACATGACGGCCTAACGGGGACTAAGACCAGGCCCACGGACTGTCCCAGAGTCTCCTGCCATCTCCAGTACCCACAGCCCTCAAACCAACTGCGGATCAGCATGAGCCACACGGCATGCAAACCTCGACCTAGAGGACTACCACCAACACCCAGCAAAGAAGATACGCAGGGTAAAAGCCTGGGAGAGGTGCCAGCAGTGTTTGTCCCTTTAGAGAATTTTAGACATACTTTCCGTTGTCCTTTCTGTATTTTCCAAATGCTCGGTAATGGTTACTGTTCAATATAGAACTCTCTAGACGCATGAAGACACTGAGTAGACAAAATGTGACCATCTGAACTGACATGTGCTCTAAGTGTAAAAGACACACCAGATTTAAAGGACTGAACATAGAAATTTTATCTAAACTAATCTCATTAGTTTTTTTTAATATTGATTACATATTGGAATAGTTTGGTCATATTGAGTTAAATAAAATATATTAAAACAAAGTCACCTGTGGGTTTTTTGTTTTGCGGCTTTTCTTTTTTTTACTATGGCTACCAGGCAATTAAAAATTACACATGTGGTTCATATTATTGGACAGCACTGCTCTAGAATAAGCACATACCATGTTCCCAATGGAATAAAAGCTATGCCAAAATAAATTAAAGGCATCGCTATACAGTGTAACTTTTACAGATCACAGGCTTATCTTCTTACAGGTCAAAAGCACCATTACTCCTTAAGACTCAGGAAGGGCCAAGAAATCGATTAATCACATAATTTCAGAAAACATGGACTCTAATATCAGTTCTGCACCAGACTTGCTTCCAAGTTGCTCTTCCTCTGTGGACCCCCATTTCCTCAACTGTAAACTGAAGTGATACACCACTAACTTCTCTAGTTTTCTACAATGCAAGTCGTCTAGGATTTTCTCAGGTAGTGGCTATAAGATTAAGTTAGATGAGACAAAGGGAAGAATCTGCCAGTTAAGAGAGGTTGAATGCAACACATAAGGAAGAACGTGGGCCTTTGGAGTCCCCTTGAGATGTGGAAGGTATAGCCTTAGCAGTCGCAAGGGGAGGGAGCAGTACTGGAGAGAAGTTCGGGTCCCTTCCCACAGTGATACCAGAGGAAATGAGCTCCCCCCACCACCTGCCGGTTGCATCCCTCCCAGTCAAGGAACAAGCTCATAATACAGTATATCAAGTCACTGTCATTTGAAGAGAAAACAGAACCATTAAAATTCTGAAAGAAGGCTACAGTTACCAAGAGAGTCTTTGCTAGGAAATGTTGAATTTGTCTGAGTTTCCATATCACAGCTCTCTTTGGACTGATGATATTCTGCCAATGTTCTTAAAAACTGCATGAGAAAACCTAAAAGACACAAAGCATATAATATAGTTTCACGGCACCAATTTCTTTCATTTAACCATTGCTCAGTCACTGTTTATATAATCTTGGTTTTAAAACATTATCCTTTTCGGGGCGCCTGGATGGCTCAGTGGGTTAAAGCCTCTGCCTTCAGCTCAGGTCATGATTCCAGGTCCTGGGATCGAGCCCTGCATCTCCTCAGCAGGGAGCCTGCTTCCCCTCCCCTCTCTCTGCCTGCCTCTCTGCCTACTTGTGATCTCTGTCAAATAAATAAAATCTTTGGAAAAAAAAAAAACAACAGTATCTTTTTCTCCAATCTATATCTTTTAAGAATAATTTCTAAGGAAAGGCCTTTGCAAACATGGCACAAAACCCAGAAGCAATGAGGATAAATATCAGTCTAACAACATAAAAATCAGAAACCTATACGGCATGAAACGAAGTCAAAAGACAAGTGATACACTGGAAAAAAATCTGTGGTAATAATATGGAAACAGAGGACTAGTTTTCATACTATCAAACAGCTCTTACAACCAGTAAGAACAAATGGAAAAATGGAAAGACATGAACAAAGTTTACACACAAAAAAATGTTTAACTGTCAAACGTGAACAAAATTATAAATAAATGCAAAATATTACAAGAGAGAGACTGTATTTTCCCAGTAAGATTGCTAAGATTAAAAGCACAGGTATAGGTGCGCCTTGGTGGCTCAGTGGGTTAAAGCCTCTGCCTTTGGCTCAGGTCATGATCCCAGGGTCCTGAGATCAAGCCCTGAATCGGGCTCTCCGCTCAGCAGGGAGCCTGCTTCCTCCTCTCTCTCTGCCTGCCTCTCTGCTTACTTGTGATCTCTATCAAATAAATAAATAAAATCTTAAAAAAAAAACTCACAAAACACAGGCATATAGGACTTCTGGGAATATGGCAAAGTAAGAAGACTGTAAGCTCACCTCCTCCAACGGACATACCTAGGTAACAGCCACAGCACAGCAACTAACCCAGAAAACAAACCCAAAGACTGGCAGAACAGACATCACACAGATAGTAAGAGAGAGGAGGCCACACTGAAAATGGTAGAAGGGGCAGAGACACAGTTGGGAGCCAAACTAACCACCAACTGGAGGGACACCACAAGCACGGAGAAGGGAGCAGAGCAGACCCCAGCCACACCAGGCACCCTAGACAGGGGGAACCTGCACTGGAGAGATGAGTCCCTATATTATTTGGCTTTAAAAACCAGTGGGGCTTAACTTAGCCTGCCTTTACAATCAGCAGGGCTTCCCTCCAGGTATCTTAATGATCAGCAGACTTAGCTCTGGGAGAGCTGGAGGGCAAAAGGAAACAGGGTCCACCCTTAAAGAACCAGCATAACAAACAAAGAACAAACATACAGTAGGTTAACAAAATGGCAGTAAGTATGTACCTATCAATAATTACTTTCAGTGCAAATGGACTAACTGCTTCAATCACAAAGGGTGACTGAACGGACAAAAAAGGCAGACCCATCCATGGGGCACCTGGGTGGCTCAGCTGGTTAAGTGTCTGACTCTTGTTTTTGGCCCAGATCATGATTTCATGGGTTGTGGAATCAGGCCCGCACCAGGCTCCTTGCCCAACAGGGAGTCTGCTTGAAGATTCTCTCCCTCTGCCCTCCCCCAATGTGGTTCTCTCTTGCTCTAAATAAACAGATCAATCTTAAAAAAAAAGAACAAAGAAAAAAGCAAGACCCATCTATATGCTGCCAGTAGGAGAACCACTTCAGACCTAAACATACATGTAGATTGAAAGTGAAGGGATGAAAAAATATTATCGTGCAAATGGACATGAAAGCTGTGGGAGCAAAATGTATATTGGACAAAATAGACTTTAAAAACAGAGAACGTAAGAAAAGACAAGGGAGAACACCATATAGTCATAAAGGGAACAATCCAATAAGAAGATACAACAATTGTAGGGCACCCCGCTGGCTCAGTTGGTGGAGCATGCAACTCTTGATCTCTGGGTTGTGAGTTCAAGCTCCACACTGGTTATAGAGATTACTTAAAAATAAAATTAAAAAAAAAAAAAAAAAAAAAAAGAAAAAAACAATGTAAATACTTTTGTACCCAACACAGTAGCATCCAAATATATAAAACAGCTAATCACAAACATAAAGGAAGTAATTGATGGTGATACAATAATAGTAAGGGAGTTTAACACACCCCACTTACATTAATGCACAGATCATCAAGACAGAAAAGCAATAAGGAAACAGTGGCTTTGAAGGAAATGCTGGACCAGATGGGGCTAACAGATACATTCAAAAGGTTCCATCTTAAAAGAGCATACATTCTTTTCAAGTGTACAGTAAATATTCTCCAAAATGGAGCACACATTAGGCCACAAACAAGTCTCAAATTCAACAAGATTGAAGTCATCCCATACGTCTTTCCAACCACAACAGTACACAACTAGTAATCAACCACAAGAAAAAAATCTGAGGACGCCTGGGTGGCTTAGTGGGTTAGAGCCTCGGCCTTCAGTTCAGGTCATGATCTCAGGGTCTTGAGATTGAGCCCGCGTCGTAGGGCTCCCTGCTCAGTGGGGAGCCTGCTTCCCTCTCTGCCTCCCTCTCTGCCTACTTGTGATCTCAATATCTCTCTCTCTCTCTCTCTCTCTCTCTGTTAAATAAATAAATAAATAATCTTTAAAAAAGAAAAAGAAAAAGATCTGGAAAGAACACAACTACATGGAAGCTACTGAACAATGAATGGGTCTGACGAGGGGGCAGAAAGCTGGCTGAGGACAAAGCAAAAGCTGGCACTTGCACCCCCTCTCCACCCGCTGCTCTCCTCTGCTCTCCTCGGTAATATGTGTGACATTCCTCAGGCACCCCTGGCTGCCCTAAAAGAAAAACAAATAGTTAACTTGCAGAGATCACAATCCTGCAAGACAGGAGTCTCCCTCGGTTTACAAATGACCTACTAATTTACAACAAAGAAGCTCTCTTATCAATAGCCCAATTTCCAGAGACAAATAACTCAGTTCCTCAAGCCTGAATGTCGCCCTCCCCTCCATAAAAACTGAAGGAGGCTGAGGCAGAAGGAAATGTAAATAAAGTTAAATTTCTTCTAAACCTAAAACTCACTGACAAGGATGTTTGATAGGAGGAATGTGACATTCCACCAGGAAACTCCCAACTGCCTTCATGCTGGTGCTTCATTAGAGGGAAAAACAGCCTTGGCTTGATAATAACCAGGCCTCCGATATCCTGACAGTCTTCTTTACCCCGATAGCCCTTCTGAACAACCCCTTTGTCCTCATCTACCCAACTCCTGTGTATATAATGAACCACTCCTCAGGAGAACAGGGCAGCAGCTCTTTCTGCCCATGGGTCCTGTCCCTGTGCTTTAATAAATCACCATTTTGCACCAGAGATGTCTCAAGAATTCTTTCTTGGTCATCGGCTCAGGATTTCACCCCACCGAACCTCATCTATGTTATAGAACTTCATCAGGTCAACCATGAAATCAAAGAGCAAATAAAAAAATACATGGAGACAATGGAAAATGAGAACACAATGGTCCAAAATCTTTAGGCTGCAGCAAAAGCTATTAATGACGGAAGATTCTGCATTTAACAATGCAGGCTTATACCACAAAGCAAGAAAAATCTCAAATAATGTAACCTTAACACCTAAAAGAGCTAGAGAAAGAACAAAGCCCAAAGCCAGTATAAGATTGTAGCAGAAATAAATGAAATAAAGATTAAATAAAATCAACGGAACATATCAATGAAACCAGGAGCTGGTTCTTTGAAAAGATTAAATGACAGACCTTTAACTGGACTCATTTAAAAAATGACTCAAATAAAATCAGAAATGAAAGAGCATAAATAACAACCAACACCACAGAAATACAAAAGATTATAAAGAGAGTATCTGGGCACCTAGGTAGCTCAGTCAGTTAAGCATCCAACTCTTTTTTTTTTTTTTTTTGGACAGAGAGAGACACAACGAGAGAGAGAACACAAGCAGGGGGCATGGGAGAGGGAGAAGCAGGCTTCCTGCTGAGGGAGCCGGCCGTGCTGTGGGGCTCAATCCCAGGACACTGGGATCATGACCCAAGCCAAAGGCAGATGCTTAACGACTGAGTCATCCAGGTGCCCCAAGCATCCAACTCTGAGACTTGGCTCAGGTCATGATCTTGGAGTCGAGATCGAGTCCCATGTTGGGCTCTGAACTCAGTGAGGAGTCTGTTTGAGATTCCCTCCCTCTCCCACTGCTCCTCCCCCGAACTCGAGGATGTACACTCTAAAATTTTTTTAAAACATATTTTTAAAAAAGAATATTACAAAAAATTATATGCCCACAAATTGGACAACCAGGAAGAAATGGATCGATTCCTAAAAACACATATAACCTTGAAAACTGAATCACGAATAGGAAATCTAGGGGCACCTGGGTGAATCAGTGGGTTAAGTCTTTGCCTTCAGCTCAGGTCATGATCTTCAGCTCAGGGTCCTGGGATCGAGCCCTGTGTCGGGCTCCCTGCTTCTGCCCCTCCACCTGCCCGTGCTCACTCTCTTTCAAATAAATAAATAAAATTTTTGAAAAAATAAAAATAAAATTATTACCAAAAACATAGGGAAAGAGAAGATTCCAAATTCATTCTACAAGGCCAGAATTACTGATACCAAAATCAGTAATTTGACACTACCAAAACAAAACAAAAACGAAACAAAAAGCTACAAAAGACTATAGGCCAATATCTCTGATGAACACAGATGTAAAAATCCTCAACAAAATATTGGAAAATCGAATCCAACATTACAAAAATTATTCACTAGGAGCAAGGGGGATTTATTCCACAGATACAAGTGTGGTACAAATATCTGCAAATCCATCAAGGTGATATATCACATTAATAATGGAAAAGATAAAAACCATATGCTCATCTCAATTGGTGAAGAAAAAGCATTTAACAAAGTACAACATCCACTCATGATAAAACTCTCAACAAAGTA